AATAGAATCTAGAAAAAATTATGTTTTAGGCAAGTCTCTACAACTTCTTAGCTCCTTATTTTAACACATTGCTTTATCAACTTTTCAGAGCCACTTATCTGTTTCAACACTTGAAATGACAATTCTCTCGAATAGAATAACACACATTAAAAACGGCAAGCTAGTACAAACCTTAAATCCCAAAAAAATCCCTGGGAGGGAGGGGAACACTAATTATTAATCCTATTACCTACAAGCATGGAGAAAATATGACTGAAGAGTCACCTATTACCTCGCAATGTCCAAAAACAATAAATAAAACCCGGGATAGATCCCAACTGAGAATCAACAACAAAAAAGAATCTCATGGGAAACCTTAGAAGTGTAGCCCAAACTGCCCCCCCTCCCGCCCCAAATAGCCTCAATAGGGAAAGGCAGCTGAAGGACACTCCTATAATTTGGTTGTTTTCTTATTTTTAGTACCAAATGCTCTTGACTGAATTGTCTAAAAGGGCAACCGCCTTGCACTTGTGCAGCCAACACTCCAGTTGCTTTACAAACTCTTCAAGCAAGGATGAAAACTTAAAAAAAAAAAATACACGTCCTATGAATAAAGAGATACTGAGCTCAAGAATGGGGATGGAAGACCCAGAGGCGGCGGCGGATGAATACAAGGAGAAAGTAGCACAAAGCAACAACTGGCCCCGCAGGGTGGCCAACGCACCCGCACCCGCACCAGCACCCGCACCAGCACCCGCACCCGCACCAGCACCAGCACCAGGGTGGTTCCTCCCAAAAGGTAGGAAGTGGACCGCTGGACTGGCGACCTCGCAAAGGAAAGGGTGTGGTTCCCCGCGGGAGGGGAGGGAGGGCCGGGTGGGAAATCCAGGCTGGGTGGAATTGGGCGCTGGCAAAAGGAACCCCTGGAAATTTCCAATCTATATTGGGGCTGCTCAACCGAAGGAACACAGTAGCACAGCGCTGCCCGGCAGGGTGCTGCTGGATAACCCGTCGTCTCGGGGCGACTTGTAGCACACCCAGGAGCTTTAGCTCATCCTTTAGTGATGCAAAGTGAGGATATGATTACATCGGAATGGCACCCCCGCCCTAGACTGACAGAGGACCAAATCGGGCTAAGGAGAAAGGGCTGGAGGGGGTGATGAAGAAAGGGATGAAAGAGGGGAAGAGGAGGGGGCGGTGATCTGAATTAGGGGAGAAAACGGTAGCGGAGGAGAGTGAAAGGACAGGGATTCCAACGCAGTCCATTCCGAACATTCTAAGCGTGCGCAGGTGACAGAAGCGTCCCGAGCGAGTGGGAAGCTAGTGCATTTGTGAGACTCAAACAAAGCAAGAAAGGACGCAAAAAGCAAATAAGAGGAAATGTTTGCAGAACAGACAACTGTGCAAAACCCGATCAGATGCCTCTAGACGACGGACAGCTCAGCAATGCCACTGATGTCATGGGGATGGCTGGAGGGAAGGTAGGGGGTGATGCAAGGCAGAGGACGGCCCCAGACCCCAAAGGGGCGTCTGCCAAGGTAAAAGGGACACCGATACCTGTGCTGTCGGCCACGTTGCCCACGGAAGACGCCATCTGGATCTTCTTAAGGGAGAGCAAGAAGGGAGTGACTGAGTCCCGCTGTGCCGCCGCTACTAGCAAGAACGTTTCTAGAGGTAGCAATAAGAGGGCAGCAGCCGTACCAGTATTCTGGCAGGCTTGAGCGGCGGCAGCACTTACAGGGTTCGAACCTTAGGAATTCTGGTTGCCCATCTACCTCTCACGGTCTTGAAATGGCGGCGACGGCTCCTCCGCCGAAACAACACGGGCCGGAACTACTTTCTCTTACAATCAAGTACCAGCGCGGAAGGAGCGCGGCAACCAAGACTACCTACAAAATGACTGTGAACTCTCGGGTAACCTTCCGCGCAGGACCCATTGCGACAAACAGGATTGTGTCCAGGGAGCAATGGAGTAATCCTGTCAACCCGGGTTTGGGGTTAGGGCACTGTCTGGGGTAGGAGTGTCCAAGTTTTTCTGTGTTTTTGTTTGTTTGTTGGCTTTTTAAGAGGCGGACGGTTGAAAAGAAATCGACACACGTGACCAACACATTTTTGCCCAAGTGGTGTAGTCTATTACCTAACCAAGAACGTAGATGTTAACATAAATGCCAAAGGCGTCTACAAAAGTTTAATCAACTTTATTCCTACAAAAACGGATAGTAACAAAGCCGATTGGGTGAATTCTGAACAACTAAATTTAAAATGGTTATATTTCAGAGACTGAACTGTTTGCAACGATTGGGGAAGAAGGTTCCAATTTGAACACGTCTTAATTCTGACTTCAGCCACTGATTTAAGCACTTTGATGAGAAAGAGTGGTCCTTTCACAAAGCCAAATGTACCGAAACGTCTCAGATCTTGACTCTTCAGCCCGAAAAATCGTTTTGCTATTTGGATACTTGTCACAGTATTAGGGCAAACGCTTCCTAAATTCATGAACATGCTGAGAATTTGCACTCCAAAAGGCAGCCATAAAAATGTTAAAGGTACTTAATATTCGTCAAAATCCGTGACTTTCTTCTGAGTTACGACTTCATTTTCATCTAAATGATTTGCAAACCTTCACAATCGGTGATTTCACTTAGCTCAAGGCAGTGCAACAATGATAAATGAATTCACTTGCCGGTCTGCCTAAACCACGCCTCTACGTTCAATCGCAATTGCCTTGCACTTCCTTGAACAAATTAGTTGTTACGATCCTCCTGCGATTTCAAGTCCACTGTCTAGGCATTTTATTTATACCTCATCTCTTGTTCCAGACTGGTTTAAGGTAGCTTGCCACATCATCAAGAAATTCTTATAAAGGACTTTTTATCTCAAAAACCCTTGATCTAGGAAAACAGGTCAGTGACTATTCAAAACGTTTTTATACTACCTAGCCATGTGACCACACTATAAAAAAAAACAAGTCTTTAAGTTTTGCTTTAATTTGTTTGAGATAGTTCATAAACTGTTAATCATGCATATGAGCACAGAGAAAAATGCTAATATTGATGTTTTCCCCATCACATGCACTAACTCTCCTGTTAATTGGGTACTAACCTCTTCTCTTAATTTCCTTTAACTGGTAAAGCATTTCCCACTCCCCTCTCGTAAGTGCCCCATGTGTGGTGAATAAACTCAGCTTTTCTTTTAGAATAGACTTCTCAGATTCCACTGGCAGATGTTTAGGCCATACTGATTAGCGGAGCTAGCTAATTAAGTTAAAAATCTTGTTGTTAAATACTAGGTCCTGTTCCCAGTCAGGCAGACTATTTTGGTTCTCCATGCTCGCGGTCCTTATCCCGAGAGAAGAGTCGAAGAATGTTACGACGCGTATTGCTGCCGCGCAAGCTGGGTGCTGGGGCTCACAGTGGGTTAATAACGAAGAGCCCCCGTTGGAGTCTCAAGAACCACCTCCAGGTCCCATCCAGGAAGAGGACCTGGATCGTTTAGTTAGTAGGAGTTACTTTAGCCAATCAAGTAACATTTGCGTGTATATATGCAAGGCACTGCGGGGGCACAGAAAAATCAAACAGGAGATCTTTGCCCTCTAGGAAGTTGAAGCCCAATTAGGTACAAAAAACCACTAGAACAAAAACCAGACGAATATCATTTAGGTGGTGAAATACGTTAGTGCCTATAAATATCTGGGGCGAGAGGAAGAGTCACGTCAGTCTGGAGGAGGGTGACGAAGAAGGCCTGACCTGAGCATTAAAGGAGACGCTTTTGTGTGTCGCGTTTGACGCTGGTTGTTTATTCCCCCTCCGTTTTACGTGCAGCAAGTCTAAATTCAGAATCATCTGGAATCGTATCAGCCGGTTCTTCAATCCCAGTTCCAAAGTTTGCAACAGTAACACACCAGCAGTGGTGTATTCATTTTCTGTTACTGTGTAACAAATTGCCGCACTTGTAGAGGTTTTAAACAGCTCCCATTCGGCAGAGTCGCGCAGCAGTCGCGCCCTCGCTAGGCAAGTGAGCAAGCGAGCTTGGACAAGCTCTGGCGGCTGTGGCCGCCACCGCCGCCGTTGCCGTTGCCCCCGGCGCCGCCGCCGGCAGTGGCACCGGCGGAACATGGCTGCGAAGGTTAAATGAAACTGGGAAAATACGTGCTTGTACCACCGCAGTCTCTCCGGATGTTTGGGGCTAATATTCCACAGAGATGTGTGCCCCCCGGATTAGGTAACTAGGCTTAACGAGGAAAATGAGTCCTCAAACCTTCCAGAAATCTTTTGAGCCTGAATGAAAGAACAAACGGATTTCATCGTAATGCAACAATCATCATTAGCCAGTGAATTTGGGCAGATCTCGATTCCTTATTTGGTAGCTGTTATGGTAAAGATATGGCCAGCTGTGACATCCACAGTGGAGATGAAAAAGGTGGAAAATAAGATCAAAGAGTGACAGCCTAATGGGTGTATTTAAAAGGCGGCTTTCTGCAGAACAAAAGCAGAAAGGCAAGCGGAGCTGCACCCTCCGGGAGCTCTGCCAGATGGGAATAGCTTTCCTCTCTGGGCACCAATACGCTTTCAAGATGTCAAAGCTCAAAGCTCAATAAGGCCATCACAATCATCACTAGCATCCTACCCCTTGGCCTCTTGACCTACAAATTCTGAGGAGGCGACTATCAGTGCAGGAGGTGAGAGCCAAAGCCTTGCTCAATGCTTCCAAACCAAGTCCAATACAGAATGATGTTCAAAAACATCTTCACCGCCTTCACCTGAAACGGAGTGCCAAGAACCAAGTTCACTGAGGACTTCAGGGTTTCAGAGTGGACACTCACATCTTCACCTCAATGAACACCTGCTGGAGTTCTCGGACTTTGCCTCAAGACTGTGTTTGGCATTCTGGGCAGGCAGAGGAGGCCATGCAGCCTTTGGAAGGATCATCCAGCTATTTCCGGACAGCTGTTCCCATGGAAGTTTCTGCAGTTGCTTCTCAAGTTGCAGAGGACTCTTTCTCCAAAACAATAATCTGGTTGACAGGACCTAGTCGTTTCCCCAGAGATCTTCATGGCTCACTCAGTGGCTTGTTTATTGCCACCACACGTCACATTCCAGAGCCCAAGGGCGAGTCATGATATCCCTCCACACTCTCCATTGCCACCTCCAATGCAGAAGTATAAAATCCAAAGGAACCTCAGTGAGTTCACAAGCAGCACCGATGACCGTGTAGCAAAAAGCATGTGCTACCATTTACATTTTTATCCTGACTCTCCTCCAGGGTTGCAAGAGTTTGACTCAGTGGAAAGTAGCACTCATGAGGTTGTGACAAGCTTTACGGGGAAGCTGGAAAAAAAAATTGCTGAATAAGAACAGTACTGGAACCAACCACATTACATGCTGGGAGGTGGGGAAGTACCTAGTAACTGTACCAGATGGTTTATTTCTTGTTCAGGATAATTCTAATGACCGTTATAATTTAAGCTCAAACTTTCACTCCCATGGTAAAACGCTTTACACTAGAATTCAGCACTCATCTGGTAGCTTCCAGCCCTGGCTGGTGTGGCTCAGCGAACTGAGCACTAGCCTACAAAGCCAGGGTCGCTGGTTTGATTCCCAGTCAGGGCCTGGGTCATGGGCCAGGTCCCCAGTGCGGGGTGTGTGAAAAGCAACCATACACTGATGTTTCCCTCCCTCCCTCCCTCCCTCCCTCCCTTCCCCTCTCTCTAAAAAGAAGTAAATAAAATCTTTTCAAAAATGGTAGGTTCCACTTTTGTGAACAACCAGATGTGGATGGAAAAGTCATTATTGACTTAAATATCTAACCAGGGACTCTGAAAATGGAGCTTTCTGTTATGTAAGGTCTCAGTTGCCTGGTTCTCCAAATTACCAATGAAGTATCACCAGCGTTCAAGCAGGTGCCATTTTTGCAGGACCTGCGTGCTCTCCAACATGACCTTTGCCAAACAATATGAAGTGTCGACAGCAGGATTTGAAAGACTAGGAGGACCCCGAAAAAGAGATCAAATACAGTTTACAAACTTTGATTGCTGTGGCCATCTTCTGCTGCCATAACTGTCTCAGTGTTCCATGAAAAGAATAATTTAGTTACCTGAGAGGTGGTGGAGTGGCAACAAAGTGTCTTCAGTGTCTTCACTGAGGGAAAGTCTTCAGACTTTAGAAGTGTCAATTCTCTTCCATCATATACCAAATAATCACAATGTGAATTTGTATCACATTTTCCTTACCTTCCCCAAGTCCTTTTCTGCCTTTTGCACTGTGATTTTTATGCACTGAGAGCATATTTCATGTGTATTCAACTTAAAGTTGAACAAAACTTTTAAAATAAAAATGACTGTCTTTCAATGGCTTTTTTTCCAAGATAATATTGAAGAAACATACCCAGATAGATGATAAGGTGCAGAATTTACATATACGCTGAAAATGATTTTCTCAAAAATGATTTAAAATCTCGTTACTTTAGATTTAGAATTATGAATTGATGCAATCTTAGGTAATAGGATGCAGATCTGCAACATGTCTTTTTCAATACCCTTTTCTAAATTATTTTTAAAGTTGTGCTGATACATTTGTTGTAAGAAGTTGAATTTTTCTGTTGCCTTCATTTTTATCTAGCCGTTTGTATGCATTTATTTTAAAGATTTATTTATTTATTTTTACAGAGAGGGGAAGGGAGGGAGGAAGACAGGGAAAGCGAGATCACTGTGTGGTTGCCTCTCACGATTCCTGCACTGGGGACCTGGCCCACAACCCAAGCATGTGCCCTGACCAGGAATGGAACCAGCGACCCTTTGGTTTGCAGCCTGGCACTCAGTCCACTGAGCCACATCAGCCAGGGCATGCTTTGTATATATTTTTTTTCTTTTCTTTTTTTTTTTTTGCTTTGTATATTTTTTAAATGACCTTACGTTATAACATCATAAATAAGTGTATACCACTGATTTTGAAATTGTTGCCTTTATGTCATTACACTACAATGCAAATTGGCATAACATATAAAAGCCTATGGAACTGGCACTAGTATTAAATAAATATTACACAATCTTATTCCTATGATAGCAATTTTTGAGTTATCTATACTTTCCTTTGGCAAATGTTTTATCTCAACTTCAACTTAGTCAGCATTTTCTTGGGTAGAATTTGGATTGTACAACTAATTTTCACACATGGATTGGATTCTCCTGTTACAAAGTTTCGAATTGACTTACGTAGAATGAAAACAATGTTTCGCATTGGGTGTTTTTTGTTACTGTAGTAACTAGTAAAATATGCCCTCACCAGATACTCTAGTTGAAAAACTGTGGACATTGCAAAGCATTATGAAAAAATATTAAAACCATATCATATACCTGGCAGTCATGTTGCCTAGGTTATATACCACCATTTAAAAACATTTTTGTTTCTTTATTTTTAATTTAGCTAAGTCTTGAGTAATTTGGACTCACTAATCATTTTACTTCTGATTCAGTAGTAGTCATGGGGGAGGTGGTTTGTCCCTGATATTTTTTACTTATTTTGAAAAGGAGTGAGTGTTTAATTATTGCACAATGTTGTAATACTGTTTCAAAATTTTCCTGCCCAGAAAATGTTTCCAGTTACACAGCTTTATAGGAAAATGTTTCACTCTAAAATGACACATGTAAGTCTAGATGTTTCTTTCTTTGTCACTTAGCTTTCTCTATCCTCATTTAAAGACAAGGTTAAGTCCTAAGTCAAAGTTGTTGGCTTTGTCATTCAAACATCTGTATCCCCACTTCTTCCTCTGTTTTTATTTTTAGGCCAGAATTGAGATACTACCAATAAAAGGTACAAAGCCATAATATGGTACAATGTATTTTGACTTAAAGGGGAAAAGGTAGTTAATTTTGGTAGATCGTTGATTGTACCTCATTGTGGTGATTCCTGTTGCACTTTTTGAAAATCATGTATATTTGTATTTTCTTTAAGATTTTATTTATTTCTTTTCAGAGAGAGGAGAAGGGAGGGAGAAAGAGAGGGAGAGAAACATTGATGTGTGAGAGAAACATCAATCGGCTGCCTCTTGCACACCCCCAACTGGGGATCTAGCCCCCAACCCAGGCATGTGCCCTGACTGGGAATCGAACCATTGACCTTTCAGTTCACAGGCCAGCACTCAATCCACTGACCCACATCAGCCAGGGCCCTCTTTGATTTTCTGATACATTTTTACCCGGTATGATGGCATATGGAGAATACTGTAATAATATAACTTAAGAGTTCACTATAAACTATTTGTGTTAATAATTATGACAGCATTATAAACTCATTATTAAATTAATGTAAGACATTTAGACTACTCTTTTACAAAGCTCCTTATTTTAAAACAATTCAGACTGTATCTTAGGTGAGTGAAAAGTCCTTGTGTATCTATGGTACATGGCAGGTATAGTTAGAGGATCACCATATATTGATGATACTTGTTGAAATGATTTCTCCATGTTTCTAGAAGCATTTGTACGTACTATTTGTGAAAGCACGGTGCTCAGAGGTCTTCGGATTGTCTGAACCCCATTTTATCATGTGTACATAGCTTGTTCCTCACATTTTCCTCACGTACATACCATGTGCGTAAGATCTATCTATTTCACATCATGGGATCATTCTGAACTTCATCTAAATGTCTAAAATATTTATTTTGTGTTGTTTTGGAGGGTGAATGTTATATTGTTCTATTCAGAAAGGCAATTTTTGATCTGCCTTGGTATATCCATAATAGAAAATACTTTAAAGAAATATACCCTGTTATAAGACAATCTGAAATGGTCAGGTTCTGATAGTGTATTGATAAAAATAAAAGCCTTTGTCAAGAAATTAAATTTGTAAACAAAAACAGGGCATTGCAATATGTTTTGCTTTTATATATAGAGAGCCATTTGGCGTGGGTAGCAAATATAATGTGAAAGGTTAACCTTATATGATAAACAGTTTAGTTGAAAATGGAAGGGGAAAGAGAACTTCATCCTCTAGTTTGATCTAAGTACATTTTGATTATATTTTTGGATTCTATAGACAATTTTGTTAAATAATCTAATAAGGAACAATTTTCAGTTCCATAAGTAACTTCCGTAAGTTTCTAAAATAAAGGGTCAGTACACTGGCAATCATAAATTTAGTTTCTTTTAATGTTTTTTTTTAATGCTGTAAAGGTTTTTTGTTAACATCCTTTTTATTAATCAACCATGACATGGTAAATGTGTAGTTGCTATTTTTGCAACGTGTTATAAACACTACATCTAGAGATGATGAAAATTCTTTTAATTTTTTTTCCTTTTATTCATTAATGAGAGAGAGACAGAGAGGCAGAGACTGATCTTCTGTTTGATTTGATTGTTTGATGTTTGATGCTTGTCTGTGCCCTGACCTGGGATCTAACCTTTAACTTTAGCACATGAGGACAACACTCTAACCAACTGAACTACCCAGCCCGGGTCAAGATGATGAAAAATTCCTATAGAATTTTGTAGTAAGTATACATGTTGGGTTAAGCATATCTCATAGTCACGTGAAAGTGTCATGAAATTAATCCTTGCAATTCAGACTGCTGCACTTCATACTTTTTCTGTATGTTTCAACTAAAGTACTTGAAACAACCATTTGTACTGAGAACCCCACAGAATGAATCATCCCAAGTGCACTGAATCTAATGTTGTTTGAATTATAAACAAATAATAGTAACTTTTTGCACATTTCTGGAAATAAATTCTGCAATGATTTATGTATCTGCTTCTGGATAGTGTGTCAATAAAAATTTCAGTAAAACACACACACACACACACACTATGTATTTATTTTCTCACAGTTTCCATGGATTAGAAATCCAAGCACAGGTTAACTTGGGCCCTCTGCTCAAGGTGTCACGGGCTAAAATGTAGGTGTCTGCTAGGCTACAAATTCATCTGAGGCTTACAGACCTCTTCCAAACTCGTGTGGTTGTAGCAGGATTTACCTCCTTGTGGTTGCAGGACTTAGGTTCCTATAGCCTTCGTGGCAGTCACCTGGAGGCTGCTCTCAGCTCTCAGAGGCAACCCACATTCCTCAGCCTCGGCTTCAAAGTCAACCATGGAGATTCTCCCTCGGGGGCCAAACTCTCATACTTTGAATATCACCAGAAAGAGCCCAGTCTCTCCCGATTTTGTAAAAAAAAAAAAACGTGATTAAAAACCACACACAGAAAATTCACCACCATCTTAACTATTTGAAGTGTACAGCTTAGGACTGTTAAGTATGTTCGCATGGTTGTGCAACAGATCTCCAGAACTTTATATCTTGCAAAACTGAAACTCTATTCATTACACAACATCTCCCCATTTCCCCCTCCCCCAGCCCCTGGTAACCACCATTCTACTTTCTGTTTCTGTGAACTTGATGACTTTAGATACCTCCCATCAATGAAATCATACAGAATTTGTCCTTGCGTAACCAAAGAGCCAAATCCCTTTTTTAAAAAATTAAATACTTCTTTTTAGAGAGGGGAAAGGAAGGAGAGAAACACTAGTTAGATGCTTCTTGCATGTGCCCCAACCGGAGACCTGGCCGGCACCCCAGGCGTGTTTGCCCTGAACCAGAAATCCAACGGGTGACCTTTTGTTTTGCAAGACAACACCCACCCCACTGAGCCCTGAG